TGTGTGTGTGTGTGTGTGTGAGTGTGTGTACAGTTTCTCTACACTGGTGGGCACTTAAACCTGAATACACACTGAAAGGTAGTAGCATGAAAAGGAGGCTGCAGATGTTTAGGTAGCTAGCTTGAAGCCAGTGGGGCTGTCGGTAAGAACAGGTCCAGTCTAGTCAAACCAGGTATAGGAACGTTTAGTGCATGTAGACGTGCGTGTGGTTTCTATAAAGGGGAACAGATATACAGAGTTTTAGTTTACCAATAAACCGTGCTAAATAAGGTACAAGGCAACCACAATGTTCCATCAACTGCACATTAAATAACTAAAGCACATGCCTGAACTGGAGCAAGCATGAAAAAACACATTTAGGCCAAACTTAAGTCATACAAAATCATATTTAAGCATCAAACAAAGGCACTTACATGGTCAATTACGCACACGCAGGAAAAACACAGAATGGAAGGAGTAAAACTCTGTTTTAAGTCCTCTGCACAGTACAACCACATGCAACAAAAAGGCCCAAGCTGTGGACACAGGTGCAGCTGATACAGTCTGTGAGATAGCTCTAATTGGCTTGAGATGGGTGGAGCTTGGGCTAACAGGGAACTGAACAGCTAAGAGGGGTACGGCACTGCTTTGAGGGTGCAGCGTAGGCCTGGGACACACTAGACGATTGTCAAATCTTAAATTATTTTAAAACCATGGGAGACCACAGACATGAAGACAGTTCAACCGATGTTTAGCCTTATAACGTAGACTAACCATGTTCCGTACACAACGATGTTCCGTACAGATGATGTTTTAGCGTTGATCGCTGAATAAATACTTGCAGGTCGTGCATAAACTATATATCTGTGTCATCCTTATTTCTCCCTCTTTCACCCCCGATCAAGACAGAGACCCACCCGCCGTTTGTTTCAGTGTGATTTCAGTAAGTTTGCCAGGTGCGCCCACTGCGCTTGAAACGGACGGTGGGCAAGCTACACTTCAAGACTGCAGCTTGGGTGCGGAGACTACTTGAGGAGCGAAAATGTACATTTCTATTTAATTTATGTTTCTCACAGTACTACAGCCTTTATGAAATGAATATTATGTTATCACAAATTGTTAAATATATTACCTTTTGTTGAATAAATGCTTTGAAATGGGAATTTTTAAACTTGGATTGCGGGCGATGACCACTTAGTGCCACTGAGACTGGCAGCACAGACGCTGTTTGCCCGTCATCCTGCATGCAGTGATGATGTTTATATTCATATTGTCTTCAGAAAGATATGGAAATGTTATTCACTAACGTTTCACATGGTTCATGCTTAACTCACATGCCATAATTAATATCATGACACAATCATGACTAACTCGCATGGTCCTTTATTAAAGCAGCAATTAACTTACATTTTAATCAAATAAAAAGGTACTCATCTTTCTTATTCTTTTAAATAATGTTTTCTTCAGTTAAAATAAATAAACAGCTCACAGTTGATCAGTTAAATGTCCATTTTCGCCGATAAAATCAAGTTATGCGCGCTGAACACCGCTAACCCTTATCATCTTCCGTACACTGGCGGAGGAGGTACTTTCCCCCACTTTTCTCAAAAACTATTGGTCCTAAAGACATCAATCAAAGTGTGGACTGTGTAATGGGTATTCCCCCAGAGAATGATCACACAAACATGCTTGTTTGTCTTTCAACAACGGAGGAGTGGTCGCTGGCGTGCGGCGAATAGCGAAAAGTGTACGGAACATGGTTGGTCTACGTTAATCCTCTGAACGCACACTAGACGATCGACCAGACCGAGAGACCACACACTTGATGAATGTAGGAATGATTTCACAGTGACAGATGTCACGGACACTCACGAGATCAAATGTGACTAGAGAAGAAAAACAAATAGAGGACAATCAACATTGTCAGCTGGCTCTCCTGGCACGCGTTCTGTTGTACAGTGAAAAACAAAGTATAACAAAGAATATGGGTGATGTTCTCTGCTTTCATGGCATGTGTGTGGCTTCCGAGTTTCAGCTATAGAAGCACGCAGCATCCGGTAGGTGATGCTTGCTCGCTCTCATTGGCTATCGCGGGTATCACGTCAGAGGCAGCCTGATCAAGATCAAGAGTCCTAAATATCAAACATGTTTGATATTTATGATTTGAGTTCGGGGTCACTCCGACTCGATCGGGAGCAGATAAATAATCGTAATGACACCACACAACAGAGGATTTTTAAGACAAAAAATCGTTTGCAACAAGCCTCGAATCGGGCCAAACCCCCCGATCATTCAGAGATGCAAATCAGGCTTAAAATTCTCTAGTGTGCGGCCAGCCTTAGGGACACAAAAACTTTACAACACACACCAACTCATGGGGACTCGTGTCACTGTGGGGTCCTAAATTGAGGTCTCCATGGGTACAGAAGCTTATAAATCATACCGAATGAGTTTTTTTGAGAATGTAAAAATGCAGAAAGTTTCCTGTGAGGGGTAGGTTTAGGGGTAGGGTTGGTGTAGGACAATAGAATATACGGTCTGTACAGTATAAAAACCATTACGCCTATGAAGAGTCCCCACAAGGATAGCTGACCAGACATGTGTGTGTGTGTGTGTGTGTGTGTACTTACAGTGTGCTTGCGTACTGGTAATGTAAAGTGCCTTCATGAGTTGAGATTAGGGGTTTCAGGGTTAATACCTAGTTATTACCCAGTTATTGCAATTACTATAACGAGTATGTAGTATGTACATGTGGAAGAGGACTGCTACCAAACATTTTCGAAGGACTGTAATATTTCCACTCAGAAAATTAGAATTCAGTTCTTGATGACTAATAGCTGATGAAAGTGTGATGGATGGGAGTTCAGCAGAACGTGAAGAGAACCAAACACCTGAACGCTTGTGCCGTGGTGCTGCAGTCTGCGTGATGATGGCACTGTGAGGATCTGCATGTGTCCTCAGGAGCGTCACAGGATGTTGTGCACAGGAAGTGTCCAGGCACTCATTGTCCAAGCCAGCGTGCGTTTCCTGTCAGCACCACACACACAATACACACACCATGAACCTCAGCTGAACGTCACAGCTTCACTTTAGTCTTCAGCAGCACGTGCTCCACATTAGACGTAATGACGTGTGGAGTCAGAGTTCAGGGTGTGTTGATCTGGATGTGTGTGTGTTCTCAGAGCAAGGCCTGGAGGAGATGAGGAAGATCCTGCTGCTGCTGCTGGGCTGTGCTGTACAGGTGACACACACACACACACACACGGGTCACATGATCAGTGTTCACGACTCACTGCTCATCACACTCTCTGTGTGTCTCAGTGCAACAGGAAGGAGGACTACATCGACCGGATCCAGACGCTGGACTTTGACACGCGGGCAGCCATCGCCGCTCACATTCAGGAGGTGTGTGTCACATGATGTCACGAGCCGAGCTCACTGCGCAGCTGACCTCTGACCCTCTGTGTGTGTGTGTGTGTGTGTGTGCAGGTGACCCATAACCAGGAGAACGTGTTTGACCTTCAGTGTGTGGAGGAGAGCGAGTCCGTCCCGCACGATAAAGATGCCGTCTTCAGACAGCTGACCTTTAACCTCAAGCGCCTCGTAGACGAGAGAGACCAACACGCTGAGGTAACTCACACGCACACACACACACACAGGTTTGTTTTTGTGAAAAGTGGGGACTCTCCATAGGCGTAATGGTTTTTCTACTGTACAGACCGTATATTCTATTGCCCTACACCAACCCTACCCCTAAACCTACCCCTCACAGGAAACTTTGTGCTATTTCAGATTTTCAATACACTCCATTCTGTGTGATTTATAAGCGTTTTGAAAAGTGGGGACATGGGGTAATGTCCTGAAAAGTCACCTTCTCCTTGTAATACCTATGTCACACCCTTTGTCATTATACAAATTTATGTCCTCATTTGTCACAAAAACGCGCACACACACCACACTCACATGTGTGTGTGTGTGTCTGATGTGTGTGTGTGTGTGTTGTGGCATCAGATGATGGTGTCTCTGACTCTGGAGAGGGACAGTGGGCTCAGCTCTCTGCACTCCGCTCCGTCGCCCGGTGAGTCGAGCATGAGACGCACGGAGAGCGTGCAGCATCTGTCGGTGGAGCTGGCCGATGCTAAAGCCAGGATCAGACGCCTGCGGCAGGAGCTGTGAGTACCTGTCATCAGTTATTCAGCTTCCCCTCTGTGTGGACACAATAGAGAGCCGTTAGAGGAAGTGCTGGAGAGCAGGGGAAGCTGTTTACTGGAATCATCTGAGCACTCGTCTAATGCAGTGTGATTGAGTTCAGCCGCTCGTCTGCTCTGCTGAAGCTCTTCATGTGCGGCTGGCAGCACTATTCCCCTGAACACAGTGTGAAGCACGTCTTTCTGTTTGCTGATGTTCTCTCAGACCAACATTTACTCCAGACTCCTGGAGAGCAGTAACAGTGGCGCTTTATGACTGTACATGACGTGGAACGTTATCTTAACCGCTGCTTTGTCAGGCTGGTAACTCTTTAACTCAAGCCCTGTTGAATCATTTACACTGACAGCAGTGAACGACTGTCCGAGGTGAGTCCAGTCGAATCCAGCAGAGATCAGAATGAGCTGCAGTGAAGACGAACAGAACTCAGGAAAATCCTGACAACTTTGACTGATTTATTGATGAAATAACCATTTACATGCTCAGGATATTTGTTCAGGGAAACATCAAATATAAAAACACTGTCTGGTTGTGATCATTGAAATCAGATGCATTTGTTTTTAACTCAGATGCATAGTTAAATATTATGAAGCAGGCAGTTCAACTACAGTTTCCACTTGCAGTGAATTGAACATATAAAGTGATTTTCATTGTTGGAGACAGTTGAGAAAGTCAAAACCACTCCGGCGAGACAGCGGCTCTTCAGTTAAAATCATTTCTGTCATTTATGTAAAAAATGTTGGGCAGGTGAAAAGCCTGTGGGTGAAGTTTATTTTCTAATGCAGAGATTACAGAAGGTTAATTCATGTCTCAAGTCATTTGTAAGTGGATGAGAGAGATTTTCTACAAGCATTAAAACGCATGGCTTTATGAGAAGAGCTTGCACACAGCGAGAATGAGGCCACGGCTCTTTACCTGGCTTCTGTTCTTGCTCTTTCACTGCAGGGTAAAAGAGGACAGTCTATTTTAGTCCGTGTGCCATAAAAGAATCACACAGCTCCACTTTCTGTTCCCCACTGATCACAGCGCTGGCTCATTCTGTTGCTGCGCAGTTGATCAACCGTGGCCACAGCTCTCCAGTGGTTCATGAGTAGATGTTTTCTGGTGCAGTGTCTTACAGTATCAGGTGAATGAAGGCCATTATCAGAGGCTGCAGCCCCACTAACACTGCTGTAACGCTCGTGTTTCAGAGAGGAGAAGACAGAGCATCTGCTGGACTGCAGACAGGAGCTGGAGCACGTGGAGACAGAGGTCAAGAGACTGCAGCAGGAAGTGAGGCGTCTTTCTATCATCCCCAGGACTGCAAAACACTGCGCTTAGCTTCATCTCTGGCATCTGTATTGCGAGTCCTAGTGTGTAACGAACAGCTTACACGCCAGAGCTTTACTCAGCCGGTCATCACACGTGTGTTTACAGACGCCGACTATCAAATAGTGATAAATAAACCCTCAGCCTCTTAAAGCGATACTTCACCCCTAAATCACTGTTCTGTCATCATTTATGATCATTTTGTGGAATATAAGAAATTTTGAAGAGGCTTTGTGCTGCTTTTTCCGTACAATGGAAGCGTACGTAGTGTGTAGCGATATAGTCCTAGTGTGTAACGAACAGCTTACACGCCAGAGCTTTACTCAGCCGGTCATCACACGTGTGTTTACAGACGCCGACTATCAAATAGTGATAAATAAACCCTCAGCCTCTTAAAGCGATACTTCACCCCTAAATCACTGTTCTGTCATCATTTATGATCATTTTGTGGAATATAAGACATTTTGAAGAGGCTTTGTGCTGCTTTTTCCATACAATGGAAGCGTACAGCATGAATATCTACATCTGCAGTAGTCTAGCATTTAGTTCACCATTAATTCTGCACATGGTAAATAAAAAAGTACCATAATTCTGCATACTGTAAATCTATATACAGTGGTATGCAAAAAATTTAAAAAACAGGAAGGGGGCAAAAACCTTTTCACGGCACTGTATATATATATAGATCATCAAAGAACCATACTGTAGATATCTGTGGTTCTTAAAACCAGATGCTGCACAATGTTGTGTTTTTTTGTTAATGTTGTCATTGGTTTTTACTGTGACTGATGAGCAGCATCTGAAATGTTGAGCAGTTGTCATATCTATCTCTTCTGAAAGCAGGTTTGTGTGTATATAGAGGTGGTTGTAATAGGTGGTATTGTGTGTCAGAACCAGCAGCTGCTGTGTGACGCGCGCTCGCTGCGGGCGTACCGTGACGAGCTGGACGCTCTCAGAGAGAAGGCCATCAGGGTGGACAAGCTGGAAAGTGAAGTGACACGCTACAAAGAGAAGCTCCACGACATCGAGTTCTACAGGACCAGAGTGGAGGTGCGTGACCGAGTGTGTTCATCAGGGAGCGCTGGGTCTGCTGGAGCTCACTGATCACATGTGTTCATGTAGGAACTGAAGGAGGACAATCAGGTTCTGCTGGAGACCAAGAGCATGCTGGAGGACCAGCTGGAGTCTTTCAGAGCTCGGTCTGATAAACACCATGAGCTGGAGAAGGAAAACCTGCAGCTCCAAAACAAGATCCATGACCTGGAGATGGTGAGAGAGCACAGAGCTATCACATCTATAGTCCATCAATACAGCAGCTCCTTAGTGTCCTCTCTCTTAGCATAAAAAGCCAACATTATAAAACTCAATCGTGATAGTGACTGCATGGACTCACTGTTGCTGTGTTTCAGGAGCGAGACATGGACCGGAAGCGCTTGGAGGAGCTGCTGGAGGAGAACCTGATGCTAGAGATGGCCCAGAAACAGAGCATGGACGAGTCTCTGCATCTGGGCTGGGAACTGGAGCAGCTCTCCAAGACCACTCCCGAGCTCACTGAAGGTACGAGATATATGTGTGAATGTGGAGCACGCTTCAGGATAGATCCCAGATTATGCTGCTTTGCCAAGAAGGTTAACTGACCTGGATTCAGGATGTTTTCTAAACGAGAGGCTGGTGTCCGTGGGCTCTGAGAGATGTTGTGTGTTGTGAGTGCAGTGCCGCAAAAGTCTCTGGGTCACGAGGTGAACGAGCTGGTGTCCAGTCAGCTGCTGAAGCTGGAGAAGGAGAATCAGATGCTGCTGAAGAGCGTGGAGGAGCTGAAGGCCTCCGGTGAGAGCGGCGCGCGCCTCCGTCTGGAGAAACACAACCAGAAACTCAGCCAGCAGGTCAGAGTTCAGACGCTTCTCAGCACAGTCCTCAGGAATAACTCGTCAGATATTTCTGAATGCATAGTGTTAGTTCTTGAGACTTGAATTCATAAGTCATGATGAAAAGTGTCTCTATATTAAAAATAAGAGAGATTACATTCTGACGAAGGATTATAAAACCAAACATCTTTAGAGTAATGTGCGCTGATGAATCCTTCACAGTGAGACCAGGAATAGAAGTGAGGAAGTACATTTTGATGTGGCTTCAAATAGTGTAACTAAGCTGTGAATAAATTATGTTCCTCACACAAAGAAAGGAGAACTGTTTGAAGAGAATGGGCTAAAATGTTGTGTGGTGTTTACGGGAACTGAGCTCTCAGAGCAGGATCATATTTGAGACTTGAATTCATAAATCATGATGAAAAGTGTCTCTATATTAAAAATAAGAGAGATTACATTCTGACGAAGGATTATGAAACCAAACATCTTTAGAGTAATGTGCGCTGATGAATCCTTCACAGTGAGACCAGGAATAGAAGTGAGGAAGTACATTTTGATGTGGCTTCAAATAGTGTAACTAAGCTGTGAATAAATTATGTTCCTCACACAAAGAAAGGAGAACTGTTTGAAGAGAATGGGCTAAAATGTTGTGTGGTGTTTACGGGAACTGAGCTCTCAGAGCAGGATCATATTCATCAGTGAGTAATCTGAGTTTAAATCTGGTTTGGGTTCAGTTAAGCTGCTTCCGGAGCATTAGCCGCTCATACGAGTTTGATTGCTCATTATGAGCATGTGTGTTTCCATATGTCAGCTCTGTGAGGATGTGATGAGTGTATGAAGCGGTGTGTGTTTGCGCAGCTGGAGCAGCTGCAGGCGGAGCTGGCTGCAGACAGAGAGAGTCTGCGCAGTGCTGAGAGTCTGAGCGCAGACCTGCTGAAGGAGATGGCACAGCTGGAGAAAACCCTGGAGACGCTCCAGCAGAACTCCGACAGACAGGTACACCGCACTCACACACACAACCCTGCATCTCATTCATCTTACACTGCTGAATCATTGGGAATTTACATAATAATTCATTTTATTCTGCCCCGAGCTTTCCATGTCCTCCAGACAAAATTATTTAAATAACTGTCATGTGTCTGATGCCCTAACAGTCAAGTGGGAGAAGTCATAATCTTTTCCTCATGACAGAATGAAGGTTTAGCAAGGTAATGAATTTGGTCTTAGAGGACTAGATATGCTGAGCAAGTACACAGACATGTGAAACATGCATAAATGCCTGCACAAACACAAAACACGAGCCCCCAACAATGTCGATCTACCACCAAGAGCTGCTAACCGCAGGTTAGGCTTAGGCGTAACACTAGCCCACTGACTTGCTAGGTGTACCTGGAGCTTATTTAACTGGTCACCTGTGTGCACCTGGACCGGGATACCCTTAGGTTTATTTAACTAATGGCCTAAGTGTGTCTGAGCTGTTTTGTTTAAGGCTCACCCCTTTAGAAACGCTCTGCTGTGTGCCGTTAGGAGATTAGTGCATGCTTACAGCAGCACTGAAGCAAGGCTGCATGAGAGCTCATTGGCTGACGGATTACCAGTAGAGGACCTCTTGGTTCATGCTGGCGGATTTACACTAGTTTATTTTTTACTTATCTGATTACTCCATAGTTTCATCACTAAACTTCAAGGCATTAGTGCACTGGAAAATTAAGCCATGTTTACGTTTACTGTATTTGGCTCAGTTGTTTTCAGACATACAGGGACAGTGCATGATATTAATCATCTCTATAAATGTTCCAGTTTAGCTAATACAGCTCATTTTCAACATTAGCCCCTGGTCTAATATTAAAAAAATAAATAAAACAAGGCAGCACACTAATAGGAATAGGCTATAAGGTAACATTTTAACACACTTTAAAACTTTCCTTGTAACAGTTTTCTACAGAAAAAAACAACAACAGTTTTGAATACCTTCAGGCATGCTGCTGATTATACATGTCAAGTTTCGTAGTGATAAGTTAATGTGTCCATAAAATACAGTGTTTTATGACAAAATTCACACTGGCCTAGATGGATAAATTAGGTATCAATCAACTTGACATGCTACTGAATCCAACAAGACAAAGATTAGAACCCTGCTTGAGTACCTTCAGGTCATGGCTGACACACACCAGGTTTGGTCTAAATGCCCATAAGATATAGCCTCACATCCACATCCATTCACAAGTTATTCGATAACAGTTTGACAAATCAACTTGAACTCCATAACTAGAAGATGAACATGATCTAATTGTTTTTACCTGAGAATCAGTTGAATCATCTAGGATTTCAGAAAAATTGTTTAGTTTTTTTTGTGATGGCCTTAAACGGTCCTGTGCACGTTGTTCAACGATCTCTCTTACCTGGCACACTGTGTCTGGTGGTGACGCAGGTCAAGGGTCTGGAACAGGAGAACGATCATCTGAACCAGACCATCGCCTCTCTCAGACAGCGCTCTCAGGTCAGCGCTGAGGCCCGCGTCAAAGACATCGAAAAAGAAAACCGCGTGCTGCACAAGTCCATCAAAGAGACCAGCAGCAAGATCAACAAGATGGAGTTTGAGCGCAAACAGCTTCGCAAAGACCTGGAGCACTACAAAGAGAAAGGAGAAAGAGCCGAGGAGCTGGAGATGGAGGTCCATCGACTGGAGCGAGAGAAGGAGAGTCTGCAGAAGCGTCTCGCTGCTCTCGCCATCACCTGCGGGAAGGTGGAGGTGCTGGAGAAGGAGAATGCCGAGCTGGAAGCGGAGAGCAGGAAGCTGAAGAAAGCAGCGGACGGTCTGAGGAACGTTTCCTATCAGCTGGAGGTCCTGGAGAAGGAGAACGCTCAGCTGGACGAAGAAAACCTGGAGCTCCGGTGCATGGTGGAGTCTTTACGGTCCTGCGGAGCCAAGGCTGCCCAGCTGGAGCTGGAGAACAAAGAGCTGGAGAACGAGAGAACCCAACTCAAAAAGAGTCTCGAGCTGCTGAAGGCTTCGTCCAAAAAAAACGAGCGTCTGGAAGTCAGTTACCAAAGCCTCGACGCGGAGAACCAGCGGCTCCAGAAAGCCCTGGAGACTGGCAGCCGCAAGATTCAGCAGCTGGAGGGAGAGCTGCAGGACACGGAGGTGGAGAACCAGAGCCTGCAGCAGAGTCTGGAGGAGCTGAAGATCTCCAGCAAAGGCCTGGAGCAGCTGGCGCAGGAGAACACGGCCCTGGAGCAGGAGAACAGTCAGCTGGAGAAGGACAAGAAGCAGCTGGAGAAGGAGAACAAACGGCTGCGACAGCAGGCTGAAATCAAAGACTCCAGACTCGATGAAGACAACCTGCGCATCTCTCATCTCGAGAAGGAGAACCGCACGCTGGGCAAGGAGGTCGCCGCTCTCAAAGATATGTGTGGTCGCGTGAAAGACTTGGAGAAGGACAATAAGGAACTGGTCAAACAAGCAACCATAGACAAGAAGACCCTGGTCACTCTGAGAGAGGTAACCAAGCAAACACGGTTAGCTGGTGCATGCTTGACTGTGGACTGCTTGCACGACTCTTACTGTGATGTTTCCTGATGCAGGAGCTTGTCAATGAAAAATTAAAGACCCAGCAGATTAACAATGACCTGGAGAAGCTGACCCATGAGCTTGAGAAGATCGGCCTCAATAAAGAGGGGCTTCTGGGTGATGAAGAGAGCTCTGATGACAGGTAATTCACACATGGAATGATCACTTTAGGGCTAGGACTGCAATTAATTTACATAAATACTGGAGTCGTGATTGTCACCTGTATAACGCTGTGTTTCTTGTTTGTCAGGTTTAAGCTTCTAGAGTGTAAACTGGAGTCCACTCTGAAGTCCTCTCTGGAGATCAAAGCGGAGAAGATCGCTGCTCTAGAAGCCCGACTGCAGGAGTCCTCCAACCTCAACCAGCAGCTACGACAGGAGCTCAAAACGGTTGGGCGTCAGGCTTTGTTTGGCTGGTTGGCAGTGACTTCAGATTGTGTTTATGAAGCCTCGTTTTGTCCACCCGCAGGTGAAGAAGAACTACGAGGCCCTGCGCCAGCGTCAGGAGGAGGAGTGTTCGGCTCAGAGCTCGCCTGCTCGAGGACGGGAGGACACACAGAGCAAGTGGGAGAAGCAGAGTCAGGAGGCCACGCGAGAGCTTCTGAAGGTCAAAGACCGACTCATAGAGGTGGAGAGAAACGTGAGTACCAGCTCAGCGCTATCAGAATGTCTTTACGTTAGCACAGCAGCTGATATTGCTGATGTTTGTCCAGAACGCCACTCTCCACGCAGAGAAGCAGGCTCTCTGGACGCAGCTGAAGCAGCTGGAGTCTCAGAGCGGGAATCTCCAGGCGCAGATATTAGCTCTTCAGAGACAGGCTGCGTCTCTACAGGAGAACAACACCACGCTACAAACACAGAACGCCAAACTACAGGTCAGAGTCGCTCTCCTCACACAATTATCCAGTCAAACGCTGTCCTATTTCTGAGAGAAAGGGGAGTTTGGTCGTGAAAGCTTTTCAGGCCCCTGAGAGAGCACAAAACGATCTTAAACTGATGTTATTACCCTGCTGACGTCTGCCGTGTGCTCGTTTACCATAAGTGCACTTTGAGCTAAACGAGTTTATGATGTGCTGGCAGGTGGAGAACTCGACGCTGAACTCTCGGAGCGCCGCTCTCATGTCCCAGAATGCTCAGCTGCAGACGCAGCAGTCCGGCACAGAGAGCGAGAGGGACGTGGCCATACGAGAGAAGGAGGAACTGCGCACGGTGTACGATCTACTGCTGCATGACCACGAGAAGCTGTCTGCGCTGCACGAGAGACAGGCGTCGGAGTACGAGGATCTGATCGGCAAACACGGAGAGCTGAAGAGCGGTCACAAGAGCCTGGAGCTGCAGCACCGCAGCCTGGAGAACAGGTGCAGACAGCACAGGCAGCAGCCTGCCATTCCACAGCCACAGCTGTGTTTCTCAATGCTGTGTGTGTGTGTGTGTGCAGGTACAATCAGCTGCTGAAGCAGAAGACCGAACTGGAGCAGCTGGAGAGAGATCTCACAGCAGAGCGAGAGAAGATGATCTCTGACAGCAAGAGTCATCAGGACACAGCTGCACAGTACCAGAGGCTCAGCGAGGAGCACCACACGTGAGTGTCAGGATGAGCGAGCGCCTCTCTTGACTGAGGCCCATCTCTCATGAGCGTCTCTCCTGTGTGCAGGCTGAGCTCCACACACCAGCAGCTCCTGAAGGACAATGAGCTTCTGCAGACAGATCATAAGACTCTTAAGAGTCAGCTGAACACGGCCCGGCTGGAGCAGACGCGTCTGGAGGCCGAGTTCTCCAAACTCAAGGAACAGTACCAGCAGCTGGACATAACCTCCACCAAACTCACCAACCAGTGCGAGGTACACGCTTCAGCATCTCACACAGCACCACTTCACTCCTCAACTGTAGTTTGTCCAGCGGGGGACACCGATAACGTCTGCTGAGATTGAAACTTGAGCTTCAGAATTTCTTTTTGTTTTTTTGTAAAAAATTATAATAATCAGAATCAGACTTGATTTATTCAATGCCCAACAGCCGTCACCCTCAGCAGGACAGTAGGGTGTATCTTTGTGAGAACACTTTACATGTTCACACGAGACCCGAATACACTGCACTATCCACATAAAAATTATACATGTGCTTAATTGCATATATCTAGCAGTAGTCGTCTTTCGTTTCACATTGTTTTTGCATGTTATTATGTTCTCTATTGTGTATGGCTCTACACTTCCCGATCTCACGTCAACATGTGAAGTTCTCATGTGCACATGTAAACTGGCGAGGTGAGTGGAGGGTAACTGTGTTTGTGTGAAATGTGTCCTGCAGTTGTTAAGTCAGCTGAAGGGGAATCTGGAGGAAGAGAACCGGCATTTGCTGGATCAGATCCAGACCCTCATGCTGCAGAACCGGACCCTGCTGGAGCAGACCATGGAGAGCAAAGACCTGTTCCACGTCGAGCAGAGACAATACATGTGTGACATCACCATATTTATACACGCCTAATTCACACCTCTTATTTTACCCTCATTCTTGTTCATCTTCTGAAGCTATTTTCCTGTAATGAATGATGCACTACCATACTTCTCTCTGTCTCTCTCTTTCTCACACACACAGTGACAAGCTCAATGAACTGAGGAGACAGAAAGAGAAACTCGAGGAGAAGATTATGGATCAGTATAAATTTTATGACCCATCACCTCCACGAAGGTAAGCACATCATCTCACGCAGATCACTGGTTGTGTTTGTAACACGGGTATGACAGCACAATGCACTGGAGAAATGCTTTCTGGGGTGAGAATATCTAAGACTAAAGCTCTGTCCAATGTCCACCACTTGTTTGCTCATTCACTGTTCCCATATGAGTGAATGAAGCCTGTTATTGTGCAGCATACACCAGTGTGATCCAGAGACAGGATAGCACAGAGCGGATCATTTGCACAAATCAACCGGTCTGCCCTTCAGAGCACAAACCGCATCCAAACTGTCTGAATTCTCCACAGAATGCTGTATGTAACAGTGATATATTGAGTAGAGCCTTCACATTATAAACAGCATTGACAAAAAGAAGAGATAACTGCACACTTGTTTGCTGGAACCTATTAACATTTAGTTTGGTTCATATTTTGGGTCATTTGCCAGAGCCTGGGTTATGTATGTTCTCTTTAGGTCAACTCTCATGACATCTGTCTGTGGAGAGACCCCTTGAGTGGTCTGCAGCCAAAACCCCGGCTTCATCAAAGGACTGGGCTGACCAGCTTGCTGGAGGGGGAAGCATGGAGCTGAAGAAGCTAGCTCACGTCTTACCAGACGATGACTTGCTCTCTATTGCAGCTCCGGTCGATCCCCCTGATAAGGATGAAAGCAAGATACGCAGGCTGATTTCTTCCTTAACACAGCACTAGACATCAAGCAGCGCTAAGACTAGACAATAAATGGCCGGGAGCTCTAGTTGAGGCTAATTACTCAAGGCTACAAGTGAAGTTTCTGCACTTCACTATACTTATAATATGCCAGACCTTCCTGGCTTTCCTGAACCGAATGAAGAATCTAAACTCTTTAGGAATGAAAGTGAACTTGGAAAGGGCTCATTTACCCCGACACTTCTCAGTAGTCTATTAAATTCTGGGAACTTGAGACTACGCCCTGACAGAGATGCAGTAGGGCTGACTTAGATTTGCTTGGCTCATTAGACATCTAGCAATGTCCACTGTTCTTCTCGCTGAGGGAAAGAAACACCACTAGATCTGGATGCTTTGGGATATCTGTGCTCAGTGCTCTGCCATATGGTTCCTTCACTCTGAACATCAGATGGAGTCAGACAGCGTTGCTCCTTGCTCTGCTGCAGAGGTAATGTAGCTGTTATATGTCAGTCCATGGCATCTCACTTAGATCTGCTCTCTCAGGAGAACATATTGCACTCATGCCCTCACAGTTATAACTACTGGGTGTGGCCCTTAAAAGGTTCAGTCTAAGTGTTATTGAATTTCCCTAGAGTGTGAGTAATATTATTCAGATTACTAAAGTGGTTTCCACTAGGTCCTTGAATAACTTTGGAAGTGGAATGTACAAGGATTTCAAATGTTGTGTATTTGGTTGGATTACTGCCCTCATATGTGACCCCGTGACATCACAGGTGGTTCTTCAAAACCCATTCATATTTAACCATTTAACTGATGCTTTTATCCAAAGCAACTTGCATTGCATTCAGTTGTTCTCAGTTCATGGATTCCGTCAGAATTCAATTCAACCGGTGACCTTGACATTGTTAGCACCGTGCTCTACTGTTTGGGCTACACTACAGGAATGCTAACCAGCTAGCTCCAGGGTACTTTAAAATGTTTAACATGCAGCCTGGGCAACTACTGCTCTTAGTACTCAACTCTTTAATTTTGAAATGCTTTGAGAGGCAGGAAATGTAAACTGATAATATTTGCTGATGACATTGTAGTGGTAGACCTAATCATGAATATTGATGACCTAGAGGAGATGGAGAATCTGGCAGGGGAATGAAAAACACTTCTCTCTCTCTGTGTTAGCAAAATGAGTAACCTGATAGTGAAAGACTAGAGAGAAGGTACAATATCAAAATGTGTCTACCTGACCCCGATCAGTTTCTCACAGATAAATGCATGCTAAGCACAGGCCTTCAACTGAGAATTGCACTCCCTGTAATATTTTCTGAGTTGTACTTTTAAATCACTAGTCTGCCTCACTAATCAATCTAGGCTGTGTTTCCCAAAGGCATCATAAGCCAAAGTGCCCTTTTAAAGACTGCTGGTGCCTATGGTTTCTACAGTCTACTTGGGCTCACAGCACTTTTGGGAAACACAGCCCAGTCTGCTGCAGAACAGTCCTGGCACATCCTTTTACACAGTGTGGCTCAGTACATTTACCATCCCAAATGTCAAAAGTTCAGGATGTTCTCGGGCAGCATCACTGCCTGGAAACACACCTCTTAGGTCTGTAATGGCCTTCAGAGAGTGATGCTTTCATCTAAACTCATCACCAGGAGGGATATACCCTCCATGCGGCACATGGACTCCAGAAAGTGCAGGATAAGAGCCAGGATAAACGGTTGTTCTCAAACATTTCTATGGACTGCTAATGCTATTATGCAGATGCACTTTTATAAATTGATTTAGTACATTCAGTGACAACTCACTCACCTGTGAGAATTTCATCATTAATACAGCGACTGCACTGGTCCTCGTTCCTTATGTAGAAAGTATAAAATACTTGCATTGCATTGACCTCTTGGAGGCACGTCACTGAGCTGCATGCACCCTGAACGCCTCCTCAGATTCATGCAGAATTTCTCCAGGCTGGTCTTACTCCAAATTCAGCATTTCTGCCTAAGGTGATTAAACCAGGATTAGGTTGGTTGAGAGTAGAAATACCTGTGTGTCATTTTTACTCTCTTCGGTTCTGCGTAGAACAGATTGCACGATTTATTCCCACTGAGGCCATTGAGTGTGTGTTTAGATGGGACAGGCACAAAGCTTAAGAGGAACAGCTTTCTGTGTGTTTGCAACAGCATTATAAATGCAACAGCTGTATCATAGAGTAACACAGAAGTCTTCAACCCTGCTCCTCGAAATCCACTGTCCTGCAGAGTTTAGCTCCAACCCTGATCAAACTCACCTGAACTAGACAGACAATCAAGGTCCTCAGGATCCATTGGAAAATACAGGCAGATATGTTGAAGCAGGTTGAAATAAACGTTGCAGGTGAGTGGGTCTCCAGGAGCATGGAAAAAGACCTCTGGAATGACAGATACCATTACGTTGGCTAATTCACTTAAAGGCCTATTTCTGCCAGGAGGGCTGAGTCTTTATTCTACTAGAGAAATTAATGTATCTCTGTTGAGGACGTATGGGCAGCAGCAGACTGGAGACTTATGAAATTTGGCTGGATGTTACTAGGTTCTCTCCTGCACATGTGATGTTGAAGGGAAATCTTGGAGAGATTCCAGGTGTCCTGAATACTGACTAGTTGTCAAGTGACTGAACAAGTGGACACTGTCTGTATCCCCGGGGAGTTTAGGTTATGACTAGACTACAACCCTGGTTCTCTGAAGGTGATAGAGGACATTTTCATCTGCTCGGAAGCGCTGATTAGGAATGTGGACCTGTGTCCATGCAGTGGATCATAGGCTTCCCTAATGCAGTGGTTCCCAACCACGTTCCTGGAGCCCCCAACACTGCACATTTTGCTTGTCTCCTTAATCAAATACGCCTGATTCAGGTTATCGGCTCCAAACCCTAAAATGTGTGTGGAAGACAAAGGAGACCTGTAAAATGTGCAGTGTTGAGGGCTCCAGGAACAGACTGGCCATTAACCTAAAGATGTTATTGTGGACGAGCGCAGATACCTCAGAGAACCACGGTCACAATACAGCCTGAAGTTCTTTCATAGAGTTTAAAACCTCAGATCTGCTCTGTCTGTGAGCATTTCATTCTCCTGATGTGTTGCAGCGTTTAGGGGTTTCAAATTATTACATGAAATGCTTTACAGGACAGAGATCACATGATAAGAGTTGCTGTTTCTGCAGGAGGGGCAACTGGATCACACTGAAGATGAGGAAGCTCATCAAGCCAAAGAGTCGTGAGCGCATGCGCTCTCTCACACAGACTCCTCCCCGCTCCGAGTCCAGCGAAGGCTTCCTGACGCTGCTGCAGCCGGACAGTCAGGACAGCTCGTCCGTCGGCTCCGGATCCAACTCACTGGAGGACAGTCTCACCCACCGCAGCAGCAGTGAGTATCAGCGCACCTCCTGCTCCCTGCAGTGTTCTGCATCTGTGGTGCGTGACTGACCTTCCTGCAGTGTGCACGTTTCAATGTAGCTTAGTCAGTCACTTCACTCCGGAATCACTCCGACAGGTTCATTAAGTGAGTCGGCCGAATGATTCTGACTGATTCTTTCTTTGATTTCCACTTATTTCCTGAGTGAATCCAGCTCCGCTCAGAGGTGTGTGTCGGAGTCATGGTCTGGCTGCTCGTACACGTTGGTGGTGCGTGCGGGTTTAAAATTGGGAGATGTTACTCTTGATCCCATACACCATGTTTTGTTTGCTTTTTTCAAAAGAATCATTTGTTTGTTAATCAATCATCACAACGACCGGTCAAAGCTGTATTTGTGAAGTCAGCGCAATGGAAAGTTGTGTTAAATGCCCGTTTACTGTCTATATGTGATTTTGTGCGCACCCAACAGAAAACATGGTGAGCTCACATCTCAGCTCGAGAATGATTTCAGAAAACACACGTGTGACGTATGATCGTGTAGTTCCGGCCTGACGCTTTCTGTGTTTTCTTGCTTTCTTTGCGAAGGGAAGAGAGTTGAGAAAAGCCAAGCGCAGGTTTCCTCTAACGGTATGCTGTCAGTCAGCCCATGAACACTCTGCATTTGTGTTCCTCTCTATTAAAGGGGACATCGGATGCAAAATTCACTTTTACATGGTGTTTGTAAAACACCATGGCATCAGATGGCATCAGATGGTGTGGTGTACGTTTCACTACATGTGTGTTCAGAGTGATCATGCTAAACGTATGAGCATCAGTTTGACAGAAAGGTGCTCTGGTTGTCATGCTAACATGTTCTCTCCTCCCGCTCGTTGTGTTTCTTTGCCTTGCTCTGCTGTCCGGTGACAGCGCTGAAAAAGCTTCCGTTCATGAGGAACAGATCCAAGGAGAAAGACAGAGTGAAGGCCGTCTACCGCCGCTCTATGTGTAAGACATCTGATCGTCCACATCCATCACGCTCTTCTACACACTCTTACTGTCTGTCTCTTCTGCAGTGGTCGTCTAAGCACTCCCATCATTTATCAACATCAGTCACTTGACACATCTGCACTGTCCTCTTGCTCTTGTCACCGATACAGTGACTGTGACACAGTTAGATTTAATGTTCATCTATTCAGATGCATAAGCATAATTCAGATCCGTTACAAACGATTCTCAAGATTAAAGTACAAGGTTACAACCTCAGCTCTCAGACCAAATCAGATCTGTTTGGAGAGTTCAGTGCCCCACATCCTACAATGCTTTCATTAGGGTGAAA